CCTGAGCTCATTCTCCTGGAACCCAGGAAAAGCCAGTGTAGCAGCCTGTGCCTGTAATACCATCACTGGGAAATGATATTTGGACTAGGCAAAACCTTCCACAAAATTTAATTTTTTCAACTCTTTCACTAAAGCCGACCTTACCCTGACTCTAAAACCTGACATAATTATACGAAAGACAACTGTAGACTAATATCCTTCACGAGTATGGATGCAAAATCCCAGAAAAATTTTGGTAAGTCAAATCAGACAGTATATAAAAAGGATTCCATGAACAAGTGAGGTTTAACTCAGGAATAAGGAACTGGTTTCCCATTTGAAACTCACAATGAAATTCCTTATGTTAACAACTAAAAGGAAAATCATTATGATCATATCAACAATTACAGAGAAAGCATCTAACAAAACCCAATATCTAATCCTGATAGAAACATTCAGCAAATGAGAAAGAGAACTTCTTCAACATGTCATATACTGGTCACTTTTTTAAAAGTTCATAACCAACACGATACTTAATAGTGGAAAACTACATGCTTTCCCCTAAGAGGAAACAACACTTGACTACAATATCATACAACATTGTAAAAAGGTTCTCCATGGAAGAAATGAAAGGCATCATATTACAAACGAAGAACTGAAGCCATCTTCATCCTCTAAGCAGAAAAGTCCTTGGAAGCTTAAGAACAGTTTCCACAGGGTTTCAAAACTTTTCACAAAACAAGACTGATATTAAAAACAAAAGCAATTCTCTTTAGTGGCAGGAGCAACCAATACTGAAATATCTAAATATAATTTAGAATAAAAGTATAAAAATACTTAAGGTTAATAAAGACCTGAAAGACATGGGCACCCAAAACTACAAACATTGCTGAAAGATACAAAATAAAACTTCAGAGAAGACACACTGAGCTTCATGATTGGAAAGAACCAGTATTTTTAAGATAATCAGTCCTCCAAAATTTGATATCATCAACACAGTCACAATCCAGCTGAAAGCTTTTTTTTTTAAATCTAGGAATAGAGATACTATTAATAACTCTCAAATTCAAATGGAAATACAAAAAACCTAGAGCACCCAAAATACCTTTTTAAAAGAACACAATCGCAAGAATGAGCCTTCTATGCTTTAGTCATAACGTGAACGAACAAGACCACACTAATATGAACAACAAAGTACGAAGGAACAACTGAACAGCCATCGGCAATGAATTTCAGTGTCTACTTTACATCAAATACAGGAATTACATCCAAATGATCCACAGACCTATATGTAAGAGCTAAAATTGTGCAACTTTTACAAGAAAATAAAGGAATAAATCTTTGTGACCTTAGGTTAGACAACATTTTCACAAATATGACAACAAAAGATAAGATTCATAAAAGGACAAACTGGTAAACTCAACTTCATCAAAATAAGACCCATGCTGTTCAAAAGACCCAGGTAAACAATGAAAATAGCAAACACTGATGAATCAATCCATGGGGGAACTGGAACTCCACACTGTTTTGGGGCAGTGCTGGGGATTGAACCCAGGGCCTACCACATCCTAGGCAAGTTCTCTGCCATTAGGCTATCCCGCCAGCCCTGAGCTGGAACTCCTCCACATTGCAGTACTGTATATAAATGGCATAATTACTTTGAAGACATATTTGGAGGTGCCTTAATAGGTTAAACATACCTCAGCCATATAACCTGACCATTCTACTCCTAGTTGTTGACCCAAGAAAACAAAGTAAATGTGTGCATAAAACCTTATAAATGCATATATGTACATATGTGTATATATATTCACAGAAGCTTTATTTATAATAGCCCAAACCTGGCCGGGCGGTGGTGGTGCACACCTTTAATCCCAGCACTTGGCAGGCGGATCTCTTGTGAGTTCAAGGTAGCCTGGTCTACAGAGCAAGATGCAGGACGAGCACCAAAACTAAACTAAGAAACCCATTATTAAGCAAATGGACAAACAAATTCTATTTATACAGTAGCTTTAATCCCAGCACTCAGGAAGCAGAGGCAGGCGGATCTCTGTAAGTTCAAGGCCAGCCTGGGCTACAGAGTGAGTTCCAGAAAAGGTGCAAAGCTACACAGAGAAACCTTGTCTCAAAAAACCAAAAATAAAATAAAATAAAATAAAAATAAAAATAGAATAGTACTCTGCAATAAAAGAAAACTACCGATATAAGCACCATGGGTGAGATGACATAATTGTGCTGAGGAAAAGTGGTTACACTATAAAGTATGTTTCCATTTATATAAGAACCTAGAAAATGAAAATCAATTTAAAGAGACAACAGACCAGCAAGTGCCTAAGGACAAATGGTTGGGAAAAGGAGTTAAAGCGAGATATAAATAATGAGCATGTTTGCTACCTTGACTGAATCTTCACTCAAAGGAATTCAACTCCCAAACGTTAAAACTTGAACATAGTTGTTTACTATATGTCAATGCTCCAATAAAGTTATTTTAAGACATTTTACTCAATTTCAAAAATATCCATAATCTTAGTTTTGTTAAATATATATATGTGAATTGTGCTAATACTAGGCCAATGTTACCAAAGGGAGTAACTGCCTGAATGGTTGTTGTTTTTTCTTAGCTGATTTTAGTTTCTTTCCTTTAAAAGGAGATTTCTGTTTGTTTTTGATCATGTGTATGTGTGTATCTACTAACATGACTACAGGCACCTGCAGAGGCACTGATCCCCCTGGAGCTGAAGTCACAGGCAGCTGTGGATGGTGGTGACACGGGTGCTAGTAAATGAACTCTACAGGAGCAGCACCTGCTCCTAACCACTGAGCTAGCTCTCTCTCCAGCCGCCAGTCTTCGTTTCTTTCTTTCCTTCTATACATAGACAGTTGTTAAGCTTGTTTTTTTCTTATTTTATCTGAGACCTGTTTGAACTGCAACTGGAGGCTGGTTACTATACTCTCTTCATTTCTTTGTGGCCTAAATGAAACCGTGTGTGTTCTCTTGCATAATTGCACTGCTGGTCACTCAGGAATTAAACTGAGGAGTATCTTGAACGGTTTGCAATGTCCTCCCATTCAGCGTGCATAGGACATTCCTGTCCCTGCTGAGGGTATGAGCTGGTACAAGCAGTCTCTGCATTTCCTTGACTGTCACCACTGGCCTGACACTCTCTTCCTCGGTCTATTTAACCTTAAAATGGCAAGTACTACATCTTACCTTTCTGAATATTGCTTTTAGGAAAATAAAAAAGATTTTGCTAAAACACGTTATCAAGCTACTTAAGATTCTGCTGTGTTTTGGTTTTTGGTAAAAAAAAAAAAATTAAATTCTACTTCATGGTTGATATTGAATTCCCATACTTAGAGATTTTTTTCCTTGGGGTGAAAGGTATGCATTTTAAGTGATATATCATGTACAAATGCTGTTATTATTTTTACTACTATTACAAGTTGAGCATTTATAAATGTTGGGGTTTATATTATTAACCTTTTGGAGGAATATCTAAACATTTTTCTTATATAATAATTTCTTCTAGCATAAAATATTAGAGATGGAAAATCAAAAACAGGTAAAATGAATACCATTTGTTCTATTAAATCAATAGTAACTTTTTCTGCATGAGTCTTAATGGATTTCACTTTAAAACTAGATTTTATGTGTCACTTTAGACTTCTACAGCTAAGACTAATCAGGGCTTCTTCAAAGTTATTTTCCAAAAATTGTTGCCTTTGGGAGAATTAAAAACAAAAGTCAATAAAGTCAAAACACATAGCTGAATAGGAACAATAAGTTCTCATATTTTATAGCACACAAGATCAACTATGATTGACATTAACTGTAAATTTCAAAATAGGTAGTAGACAGAGTTTAGAATATTCCCAACACAAGGGACATAATATGACAAACATCTGAGGCTGTGGATATCTCTGATGATTACATACTGCAAGCGTATCAAAGGCCACACTGTACCTCATTATGTGTCCATAAAAAATTACTTTAAAGAGAAAAACATAAATTTAGGGGGACTGGAGAAATGGTTCAGCAGTGAAGAGCACTGGCTGCTCTTCTAGAGGACCCAGGTTTGATTACTAGCACCCATACAGTAACTTACAACTATTTATAATTCCAAACTCAGGGGAACTCTTCTGGCTTCTGTGGGCATTGCACACACGTGGTGCATAGATATACATGCAGGCAAAACACCCATACACATAAAATACAAATAAAGAAAAAAATTTAGGAAAAGTTATTTCTCTGGATTTATGCTGAATTATAGACAAAGAACACAGGAAAATGTCAGGACCTGGGGTTACTGTTCAAAAACTTAATCTTTTTTGTTTGCTTGCTTAATGGTTGTTTTGAATGTCCTGTTGGATAGCTCCAAAAACTGCTAAACTGTAGATTTTTAAAAAATAACTATACCTCTATAGAATATTTATTAGTTTTTAAAATAAATTAAAATGTATCTAATAGAAAAGTTTCCATGCATATAATAAATATACTGGGAATTATAAAATTTGTTGATTGTAACTATGCAAATGTAGCTAATTACTTTGTAAAATAATTATCTACAGCACAATCACAAGCACAGGTCTTCAAGCTTAGTGTGCATCACAAGACACCATAGGACATATTGGTACAGACATACAGACAGGATTCCATGGGGATTTTGACTCTAGGTTTTGTGACTAACAACGATTCTATTGCTTTGTATCTAGATCATTAATGAATTTATTTTTTAAATTTATTTTATGTATATGGGTGTTTTGTCTGTCACATGTCTGTGTATCATAGGCATGCCTGGTGCTCCTGGGGGCCAGAAGAGGATGATGGATGCCCAGGACCTGGGGTTACAGATACTGTGAACTGCCATGTAGGTGCTGGGAATTACACCTGTGTCCTTCTGGAAGAGAAGCCAGTGCTCTTAATCTGTGAGCCATCTCTCTAGGCCTAGAGCTGTAATCTAAAGGTAAGGGGGGGAGGGAATTTCTCTCCAAATAAAGTCTTAGTATAAAGTAGTACTTACCAGTATCGGAATTTGGAACCCAGGGTAAAATAATGTGCAAAAAAATTCTTCTGCGGTGGAAGTGGTCTATCCAGGCGGAAGAATGTGTGATGTTCTACACACGCTTTCCACAAATTTTTACATGCTCTGTAATTCACCATATTAAATCCCAGCAGGGTTTCTCTAGATTCATGCTGTATACAATGACAAAATTCAGAGAATATGGGAAAATATCAGGATCTGATCATTCTTTTGACAGATAAATTATGCAAGTCCTGCAAATGTTAATCTCTACCTCAATGATTTTGTTTATTCAACAAAAACTCAGTAAACTAAAGGAAAAGAGCTGTAAAATGTGCACTTTAGTATTTTACAACTTTTAGGGACTTTTATTCTCTATTATAGTTAGAAATAAGTTTAAATTTTTTTATTATTTTCAAATTTTATTAGCTATGATTCTGCTTTAAAATATAATCCTGGACCATAAATTAAATTTGTAATAGGCCCACAATTTGTAATTCTGTCTTGATTAAAAATAGGAACATTCAACACCACCAAGCACTATTACAAAATCACATTAAAAATTGACTAGCACTAAAATAGAGCAATTTCTCTAGTTTTTCTTTTTCGCACAAATCACATTATACAAAGGACTCATCTCCTGAGTAACAGTTCTGATTTCCAGACAATGTGATCGACCACTCAGTGAAGACTATGAAACATATCATTCTGTGCTACCTGGTAATACCCTCCGCTGCCTTTTTCCACTAGATTATCTTCTAATGGTAATCACTTTACTGTCATGACCACAAACTAGTCATCCTTGTTTCCATTTTTCATTGTATTCTATTATAATATATCCACAAAAATTTATCTACTTTACTGTTTATAGACAATTGATATTTTTCATTTGGGATAGATGAGTGATGTTGTATATATACATTCCTAGTGTCTGTACACATATGTACTTATTTCTGTTCCTAGATCATAACATATATGTTTAGCTTGATTGGTTTATATTTCCTCCCAACAATAGTGTGTGTTCTATATACTACCCAGCTTCAGTCATTTTCCATTTTTGTATTGTATTTGCTTGTTTATTGAGACAGCACTTCACACTGTACCTTAAGCTGGCTTGGAACTCACTATGAAGTTCAGGCTGGACGTGAATTCATGACAGTTCTCCCGTCTTATCTTTTGGGAGATGTATTATAAGCATGTACCACCCTCATATATTCTTATTTCATTGTCTTGATAGACATGTTGAAGTGGAACATTTTGGTTATGACATGTTACCTCTTCTTGATGACTAATAAAATCCAACAACTTTTCATGTTAATGGCCATGTGGATTTTGGAGGGAAGAGAGGTAAAGCATGGCCTCTTCTGTAGACCAAGCTAGCCTTGAACTTATGTAAATACCCATCTTAGCCTCTTAAGTGCTGGGATTAGAGTATGGGCCACCATGTCTACCTTATTTTAGTTTTTGAGGCAGGCCCTCACATTATGCAGCAAAGGTTGATTTTGAACTCACAACCTTCTTGCCTCAACCTTGTTAAGTATCTGGCTACCATGTGGGTACTGTCCTTCCTGAAGTGGGATTCAAGTCACTGGCCTATTTTTCTGTTGGACAGCATATATATGCAAGGACTTGTCGGGGGCATGTGTACTTCATATATAGACCACACTACTTCTTAATTAACTTAATTAACTCTCTTAATGAGACCTTTTGATGAACATTTACCAGTTTTGAAGCAATCTAAAATTACCAATAATTATCTTCAAGGTTAAGAAGAACTCCTTCTATGTTTTATTCAAGAACTATTTTCATCATGAAAATCTTTTCCATAATAAAATCATGACAAAAATGTTCATATATTTTCATATTAAAAGGTAAAATGATTAAAGCATAACTAACTGGCAACTAGAAAATTAAAGGTACCATTAACAAGTGTTTGTACATGCACTATCAGTTTACATGTTGTATTATATACAATAAACATTATGAAAAATGACAGAATGTCTAACAGAGAAGTAGTACAGTAACACTCTCAGTGTGTGTGCTCTAAGACAGACATATGCTACCTCCCTTTAAAACAACTGCTTCAAATTGTCTGTATATAATTTGAATACTGTAACTGTATTTGAAATGCAACAACATTTTTTTCCAATTTGTAAACAATGGACATAAAGTATCTTAGGAGTAAGGGTAACAAATAGAAGTTTGGCTTTGCTGCTGTTGTTTTGGCTCAAAGTCTTGCTACGTAGCTCTACTTGGTCTGAAACTTGCTATGCAGACCAAGGTTATCCTTGAACAAAAAGCTACCCTACTGCCTGTGTCCCTTGAGCACAAGGATTACAGGTGTGTATCACTGCATCTGGCTGTAAGTTTGGATAGTTAAAAACACACGAATGTTTTACCGAGAAAACATTGGTAACGTGAACTTCTGCAGAGTATATCTGTATGTGGTCTTTTAGCACGCACTAGTTGACTTTTGATGCTGTTGTTACTCACAGGTAAACAGTGCTAACTGATCCAGTCTCTCAGAGAACAAGCATGAGAACTAAATAATAAAAATGCTTCATATATTACCAGTCACATACACAAAAATGTTACATTTCATAACTGTTGTTGTTGTTGTTATTATTATTATTATTATTATTATTATTATTATTACTACTACTACTACTACTACTACTGATAACATATCCATCACAATCAGGTAAACTAGAAAAGTTGTCTACTACATACTCTCTATAGTTACTCCAAGTAAATATCTGTTCTCTAGTTTCTGGACAACAAGATTTATTATATTTCTTTCTCTGGATATTTACTCATACACACACACACACACACACACACACACACATACGATATGACTTTTCTGTACCAGCATTAGTCATAATATTCCCCACTGGGAAATGGTAAAACTGCCCACTAACAGAAGAATGAACTGCTAGTTTATGGCATATGCACGTAGTGGACTACCACACACTAAGGAACAAACCATGCAACATCATGGATGTCAGTACAACAATATGAATTTCACATAGTTAAGTTGGAAAGAAGGCAAGCAAAAAGAACATGGTGTATGGTTTCATTTACATGCCATGAGTGCAAACTAATTCAAGGCAGAAAAAATGGGAATAATGCTACTTATGTGTTGGAAAGATTAGTACCTGCAAGTGGACATCAGTTCCATTAGCACAGGACTAGATCATGCTCTATATATTAATCTGAGTTTATCAAGTATATACTTAAGGTCTAAGTACTTTCCCATACTAAATTTCATTTCGATAAAAAATCTATTTTAGAAAATCTCCCATATTTAATAAACATAAATGACAAACTATAATCACAAAACAGGACACTATCCTCTAACAGAGGATATGGTAGCTAACTCAAATACATTTTTAAGATTTTAAGGAAATTTTACGCATATACATCTTAAAACATGCATTAATTTGCAAAGATTTATAAAAAATAATGCAAACCAAAGAACAAGGTTAGTTTGATTGCAAATTCATGTTTTGTGTCAGGGTCTTGCCCAATAACCCAGGATGGCTTCAAACAGTCTTCCTGCATGCTTGTGATTACATGCTTCTGTCACCATACCAGGCAAAGCTAGTTTAATTTGATCAAACAGGTAAAATAATTTATAAGACGAAGTTGTTTTAACACTATACTAACACTTAGATACAAGACGTAAGTCCATGAACTAGAAACTAAATATTCAGCGCTCCCAAAATGAAATAAGCTTTCCTATGAAAGGAAGTCATAATGGATTTAATATGGAGGAAAATCAGAAGAATTTTCTGCAGTGTCAGAAAGTTTTAAATATTACCAGTGTGTGTGCTCATGTGCATGTGGGTGCACATATGCACATATGTTAGGATGTCAGAGGATAATCTCGGTGTTATTTCTCAGAAATACTGTCTCTTATTTTTGGAGACAGTCTCTCATTGGCCTGGAGCTCTCCCATTAAGCTAGAATGGCAGGCTGGGAGCTGGATGGGTCAGCCTGTCTCTGCCTCCTCACTGCTAGATTATCCGTGCAGCTTTCTTATTTGGGTTCTAGGCATCAAACCCATGTTCTTGCACTTGTATAACACCTATACAAATTTAGCCATCTTCTCTGCCTATGGGTAGGCAACCTTAAAAGATCAATAAATATTAGATCAATACTCACCAATTCTTTTCTAAGTTGAATAAAAAATTGTTTGCATTTAAAAGAAATTTTTACAATCTTCAACCTGCATAAAAGAGAATTGGAGTATTCAAAATTACTGGCGAAAGATGGAAATATTAAAAAAATTGACGAAATTATAGATATGATTTTTGGAAGTTTCATACATTTATAGGATGAATATTAATCAATCCATTCAGCAGTACCTCCAACTCCCTGGTACCACCACCCTTGCTCCCTCGTAACTTCATGGCCAGGATCTTAAGTTTAATGTGGACCAATATCTTCACCCTTTATTATATATCTCTAATACATATAACGTATCAATAATGTAAAGTTTATGGTGCTTCCTAGAAAACAAAATAAAATCTAGGTGCTCAACTGAGAAAATTTTTATCAAACTATAGGAATATTCACCAAAAATTAAAATCGCAACAAATACAAATAACATTTAAAACTTTTAATACTCTAAAGCATGTGTAAGGGAAAGTGTAAAATTTCAGAGTTTTATAAAACATTTTTCATTTTAGAAACCATAATTACTTTTATCTCACCCTTATACATTACCTTTTAAAAACATATGTAACTTATTTTTGTTTTTTCAGAGTCTCACTATATAGCCTCAGCTGCCCTGGAATTCACTATATAGACCAGTCTGGTTTGCCTCTGCCTCTACTGTGGCCACCACGCCCAGCAATTTATATAACACTAATTTCTCAGTGTTCCATTAGTACAATCCATGACTCAAGCTGGTTTGGTTTCTTATAGTAACCTTATAAAAAGTAAAGATCTTTCAGGGCTGTAACACTCAAAGGCTATGAGGCCCAAGAGACTGAATCTTAGTAAAATGTGATTTGGAACCGAATTTTTTAACATTTCTACTATTTCACAGTAATTCTACATTTTTTTTTTGTTTGTTTGTTTTTTTGGTTTTTCGAGACAGGGTTTCTCTGTGTAGCTTTGCGCCTTTCCTGGATCTCGTGCTGTAGACCAGGCTGGCCTCGAACTCACAGAGATCCGCCTGCCTCTGCCTCCCGAGTGCTGGGATTAAAGGCGTGCGCCACCACCGCCCGGCTCATTCTACATTTTGATCCTCATGACTCATACCCGTATCCATTAAGAAGTTCTGAGGACTCTCAGAGAATAAACTAATCCAATCTCAGCCACTTGGGAAGATAGATATACCAGTGATACTCAGGAAGATCCATTTAGAGGGGTAAATTTAAGGCTAGGTTTTAGGTCTGACCTTTGTGTTGCTGGAGGAATGAATCCAGCACCTTGCACATGCCAGTCAAGTGCTATAACACTGAGTCAAATTCCCAACCCGAGGATTGAAATTCATTGTTTTACTATTACATCTTGTGCTCTTACTGCATAGATATATAACAACATGGATATATTATTTTCTCATATAACAGAGGGTATTATTTTCAGAAAGTGAAAGGAAGATTGGATAAAACAGCCTGTGTTTGTGGAAAGAAAGTAAGCCATTGAAAAAACCTATACAGAGCTACATACACTTTTACATTTAAACATTAACCTTCACACAAGTAACAAATAAAAAATGCTGTTCATTTCTAAATGAATAAGACAGAAAATCTAATCTAATTTCTAGTCATCTTCATTTTACAAACATCAGAAAACATCAAACAATGAATACAAAATTTTACACTGGATAATGGTCTCTAGCAAAAGTCTATTTGTATGACTAGTGTTTCTTACAAATATATTCTCTCAAGCAATGAATAATACTTATTTTGTATAATAAGATAGTTATAATAGTTTTTCCTTAGATTTTCATGCTCTTGATTTTTCTTCTAGAGTGAACTCAACCAATCTGTCTCTTTATGTTTCATATATATATATATGTATATATATATATATATATCTTATAAATAGTATACACATAAATTCAATCCCATCTGAGTATTTCAAAGAGGATGAAAACACAATAAGCACATGAAAAGATGTTTAACATTATTAGCCATAAAAGAATACAAATTAAAATTAAAATGAGGTATCATTTCACACCCACCAGGATGGCTTTAAGCCAAAAGAGAAACAATAAATGGTAGAGAGACTATGGTGAAATTAACCTAGCACATAACCCAGTGGCGATGGAAGGTGACATACTGCCACATGAGAAAAAGTCTGGCCAACCCAGCCATCCTAATCCTTTGTATATGTCCCCTACCAACACTTACACAAATATGCAGTGTAGCACCAGTATTAATAGCCAAAAGGAACAACTGGTGAGCTGTGAAACAAAATAGACTATAACTAAGGTATAGAGCATTGTTCAACAACAGAAAGGGACACTGATTGATATATTGTTCTAGGATAGATGAATGTCAAGAACATGCTAAAAGTCATTCAAACACGCAATATATTATCTCATTTTAGAATATCCAGAACAGAAATATGATTAGGGCTAGAAGTAAGAGGCAAGACAAGGGGTACAAAATGATTTATAACAAACAATCTTTTGGGGGTAATTAAAATGGTTCAAAATTATATTAGGTGATGCTCTGTTCTTTAACTGTACTATAAACACTATATATTTTAACCATGAATTTCATAAAGCATATACATTATACAATAAAGCTTAGAAATCCATTTTGATAGTTGGCCTCTTTCAGTCTCAAGGGTGGTTGCTATTTTTCCTGAAGAACTCAGTTTAACATTCCGCACATGGCAGGCCAACAAGTAAAAAATTCCTTGAATTCCTCTTGCTTCTGGAAGACAACTATAGACGAAGTTGATGAGTATTTTCTTTGAACACTTGCAAATATTTCACTCCGTCACTTTGGGTTTTCCAAAGACAAGTGCCATGTAATTCTTATCCTTATTTCTCTGCAAAATGGTATTTTTGGTGTTTTCTTTCAAGATTCTCTGTTTGTCTTTGAATCTCTTGATCTCTTGAAATTTGCAGTTGAATCCAGACATGATTTACTCAATAAAAGGAACCAGATAAGCATTCCTTAGCTGCAACTTCACCTTTATCTGACAAGACAAAAGCTGTGTTCACTGCACTGTGTAGGCTTAGCTTCTGCTAGTGCCCTTACTCTATCACTCTGTCTTTGGGTTGCTATCAGTCTCTTGGAATTGCCTTCCTCACAGTTTCTCAGTTGTAATCCCGTTATTACACAGGCCTTTGTTGATAAGGCCTGTTAATATGTGAGCTGGGGAATCCGGTTTAATCTAAGTGGCACAGAAGCCCATGCCCCTTAGCTCTCACCATGAGAACAGGAAAGGGCACCTGTTCTTCAACTCATAAAGCTTGAAGACGCTCAGAAGACAGGACACCCACAAGTTTTTTTTCTCAACCCAGTCTAGATCTACCACCCAGCAATGAGTTGCCACCTTTTAAGCACTCCCAACTGTCCATTCTCTGTAGTCACCTGTCTCCAGTTTTGAAGGCAGTAGCTTACTCAGTGTGTCCAACTCTGTGAAGAACCTAAGAAGAGCTGTCAACTTTTGGTTTCTATTGGGTTTTTCTTTGTTGTGGGAGCAGGATAGTGAACACCTTACATGTCAGATCGGGAAGCTGAATTCTCTGTCCCTCACTTACTATCTTAATATCTTTGCATAAGTTTTCTTGTACTGTGTACTGTAAAGAATAGTTGGAAAACATCCATTATAGCCCATGGTTATATGGGCTTGATAGTTCTAGCAACTTGAAATTCCATCTATTTAATTACTGAAAACTGTATTTCAAATTCATATTGTGAAATATTTTCTAATTAATATTTCAATGTTAACATTCACTGTTTGGTTTTCTTAAACCCAACCTGCAGAAGGCCTTGGACATATGAGTACTATTTCCCAATTTTAAACCAGATTCAAATATATTTAAATGATGCATCAAGTCTTCCATCACAAATATCTTATACATATTGATTCCTCAAAATTCGCTATCCCCTTCCAACTGAAGAGCCTTCTCTGCATCCTATAATTCAAATTCAGTAAAATAATCCATAGAATATATTTTTTCTGTTCGTACAACAATGTCAGTAGTTTGCTAGAATCCTTATTTTATAATAATGAAAGTTAAAAGAAAGATTATATAATATAGAACTTTGAAATGCAAAAAAATAATTATCATTGGCATTTTAATCATATCACCTGAAAAGAAAAAGAAAAATTAATTTTTGTGTATCCTATCTGTACTTACAGGTAAGAATTATGTTTTTTTTTTTATTTTGCCCTTGAGCATGCCACAATTTCAATTACCTAGGAAACATTTCAAAGGTGGAAGATGAAATACTAAACAATCTTTAGCTTTATCAGTTTTATAGAGGCATAATTTGCATTTATAATACAATTTACCAACTTTAGGTGAGCAATTCAATGAGTTTTAACAAATCTGTTCAACTGCATTAATTACCACAGAGCAAGTCTCCTTGGTGCCCCTTTACAGTTAATAGCCTCTTCCAATTGTTAAAAATAGGATATCTTGTAGAGAGAAATGCATTCTTTTGGATCTGGTATAAAGATTCAAGGGTAGGGGTGTCTGTATGCTTTAGTGTATCAATACTCATCTCTTTTTAATGCTGAGCAGAATTGTAGCAAGTAGATACACCATAATTTCTTTTTCTTTCAGTTGATACCCATTTTGATTTTGCTATGAATACTATAGCTATAAATTTTATGAACAAATCTTCATATATATATATATATATATTTATATATATATATATATATATATATATATATATATATATATATGAAGATGACCTATGTTTCTCATGTATAATCTAAGAAAAGAATTGCTTGGATTATATGCGCCATGTTTGGTCTACTTTCAACCTGGCTGGTTTATTTACTAGTTCCTTCTCTTATTCCTGTGACAGAACACCTGTCAAGAACAGCACAAGGCTGCATGGTCTCCGTGATCTCACATCTTAGTACCTGCAAAGCTAGTATCCCACGCACAAAAGTGCTGAGTTCTGCTGACAACTCAGGATGGAGCGCAGCTGCAGCCTGTGTGGTGACCCAGGAAAAAGACAGTTGTTTCTGAGCAATATTCTCAGTTTAGGTTTTCTCTTTTCAAATAGATTTGCATTTTCACAAGATAGACCCTTCGGTATTCTTGGGATACTATGGTGATATTTTACTTGTACTGAAATGTGATTTTATTTGTATGTTGCCTGGGGGTCAGAGCTAATAGCAAGCCATAGCAGAAGCTGGGCGGTGGTGGCACACGCCTTTAATCCCAGCACTTGGGAGGCAGAGCTAGGCAGATCTCTGTGTGTTGAAGGATACAGCCAGCATGGAGACACACACCTTTAATCTCAATACCAACCATAGAAGACCTGGAGGTCTGTACAGACAAGCAGTGATGAGGAGGCCATGTGGTTGGGTTTAAAACCAATGAGAAGGCAGAACAGAAAGTCAATAAAAGGACAGACACACAGAAAGTAGTTCTTTTTCTGAGGGGACAGCAGCAGAGAAGGATAAGCTCAGCTCTCAGCTACTGCTCTGACCTCTTGGGCTGTTAACTCTGCAACTGGCTCTGTGTTTCTTATTTAATAAGACTGTTCTCTACAGGATACCAATTCCTATTGAACCAGTGTGAAGGTTTTCCTTCAATGGGACTAATTTCTAAAGATTACAGCTACTTTGAACCTGCCTTTTCTGTATATACTTGCTCATAATCTTTTTCTCACAAAGCTACATTTTTTATATCTCTCTGTTCCATATTTTACTCTTTGTCACTGTTACCTGGAGAAGAGCTGTAAACAGTAAACAACACAGTCTGAATAAAATATTGTCTTGAAGCTTCCCCTGCCAAATAAATTAGCCCACTCTTTTTGAATGTGCCCGACTTAAGATCTCAAGGCATGGGCCAAATAAAGTCAGATTTTTTTTTCCTTGCCAGAATATAACATGAAAGGCCTCTAGCCCAGTTTCCCATATAGTCTTTGTTCCCCTTTAAAACCTCATGAGCCAGGCCTCCACTGTCCATCCAGTTCTCTCTGTAGCCTGGCCTTCCAAACTTCCATCACAATGACTCATAAAGTTCTGCTTACAGCATTCTGGAGTTTTCCTAATCCAAAACTCTAAATTCTTCCACACCTTTCTCGGACAAACTAGTTCCACAAGCTTAAGAACCACATAGTCAGGATTATCACAGCAACAACCTGACTCCTGGTATCAGTGATCTGTATTAATTTTCTTGTTGCTGTGACAGAAGCAACTTAAGGAAAGAGAGGATTATTTTGGCTCACAGTTTGAAATTACAGTTCATCCTGGCAGAGAAGGCATGGCGACAGCTCCCCACATCCAGTCCCCAGTTAGCTAACACAAATAAATGAGGCTGCTACTTGTACTCTTTTCAGTCCACGACCCCAGCTCACAGAATGCTGCCACCCTCATTTAAGAGGGTCTTCCCACCTCAATTAGCCATATGGGGAAAGTCCCTCACAGGCAGGCCAAAAGGCTTGTTTCCATGGTAATTCTATTCCCATTAATTTGACAACCAAGATTAATCATCAGAATTGGTTTTGGAGCCACTGAGGAGACATATTTCTAGGAGAGTCTGTGAGGTGTTTCCAGGATAGGATTAACTGAGGGCAAGACCCATCCTCAGCAACCAGATATAAAGAGGTTCAGGATGTACTCCTGCCTCCTCTGCTTCTTGCTGAACGAGTTCATCTACAGATGCTGCTCCTGTTATTCTTTCTTGATATTACAATCTAGCTCTTCAGTCTTCTGATACAGACTCAATAGCAACAACTTTGCAGGGAACTTCTAGGCTCCCAGCATTGGATTGAGACAGCTGAGCTTCTCAGACTGAACTCTAGGCTTTTCTACCACTCCAACAAGCAGATGGCCACTGTTAAGACTATCATGTAAGATAATCTAATAAATTCCCTTTTTCTCTCTCTTCTTCCTCCCCACTCCCTTCCTCCTTCTTTTCTGTTCCTCTAAAGCACTGCCTAACACATTTTTTTCAGTTTTAAAGCAACGGTCAGTTTCCAAAGTTAGTGTATCTGTTTGCATTTCCATCAGTAATACAGTATTTCAAAGGTGTTGCATTACAAAGGTCCTGGGATTACACCTTTTTGTTTGTTTGTTTTCTGTTTTGTTTTTTGAGACAGGGTTTCTCTGTATAGCTTTGGTGCCTGTCCTGGATCTCCCTCTATAGACCAGCCTGGCCTCGAACTCACAGAGATCCGCCTGGCTCTGCCTCCCGAGTGCTGGGATTAAAGGTGTACGCCACCTCCACCCAACAATTACAGCTTTTTTTAAAAAGCAGAGTTATGATTGCTTCCTAAGACATTTATTTGTTAGCTATCATACTTCTATTTTTATTCTACCAAAGTATTATTAAAGCAACTAATTATGGAAGCCTGTTAAAAATAATAGATACCGGAAAAAAACAAGATCAAATCTTTTAGGAGGTATACAAAAAAAACATATTGATACTATGTACTGATTTTGAATTTGTTTCTTCCCCTAAAGTCACTTTATTTAAAAGAGCAAAATAACCTTGATTACCAGTGATATGATCAAAGTGATTTTTATAATCCTTAATTTATCCCTTAAGAAGAAACATAAAATGCTTTCTCTTTTTCCTTGCTTTGAGATATAGAAATCATAAATCAGTGGTGACTCATCTTGGACAATGAGAGCAAGGACAAAAAAGATGGCAGAAGGGTAGACAAAGGAAGCAGGAGAGTGAAGCCTTTGTGGAACCCACATGCTTTGCTTGTGCTAATTTAAACCACCGTAGTGCTGGGTTGTTGGTTCAGTAGCCATGTATCTTTCAGCTAATAAACTGGCATTTCAATGGATGCATTTAAATAGAAACAGCAAGTGCAGCCCCAAAATGAGTATTCTTATGATTATATTTAGATACTCTAGGAAGGAAAATCAATAATACTATTGAAAAGCCATACTGAAATATATTATTTTGGTGTCTTTGATTCATTTCCAGTAAGCAAAATAAGGTATAAATTGAACCACACAAGTAAGCTGACAAGATTAAAACAGTTTAAGGGTTATTTAATGTGAATTATTATATTTGGTAATATTATGATAAAAGCAAAAGCATTTGTGGAAATTCTTACCACGGAAAGGTATTCATCCGTATCCTGTTCTTGTAAATCAGAATTCCTCCTGACATTACTCCAATCATAATTTCATTGTTACTTTGATCCTTCAAAATAAATAAAGACATGACAATCTAAAATAATTAAAACAGGATTAAATTTTTTTAAACACATAACATCACAAAGATAACACAAAACTAAATTACACTTAATTACAAACCCAAAAAGTTTGTTGTTGCTCATAAAAGGCAAATTTCAAATAAGCTTAAATGTGGCAGTACTAAAGTTCACTAATCTAGAAGCTGGAGAGATGTCTTAGCAGTCAAGCACTTGCTGCACAAGCACGAGGACCAGAGTTGGATCCTCAGAAACCCAGGTGGCCTTGGCAGCCCATCTGTAATTCCAGCCTTGGAAGAAGGAGAAAGGCGATCCCCTGAGCAAGTGTCTAGCAAGACTAGCCATATCAGCAAACTCCGGGTTGAATCCTGCCTAGATGAATAAGGAAGAACAGCAATCAAGGATGATTCTTGACATCAACCTTGGGTCTCTATATGCACATGTACACATGTCCAGGTACATCCATACATATGTAAGGACATGTATACTACACACACACACACACACACACACACACGAAGAAGAAGAAAGAAAGAAAGAAAGAAAGAAAGAAAGAAAGAAAGAAAGGAAGGAAGGAAGGAAGGAAGGAAGGAAGAAAGGAAAGAAAGAAAGAAAGAAAGAAAGAAAGAAAGAAAGAAAGAAAGAAAGAAAGAAAAGAGAAAAGAAAAGAAAAAATCATTGTCCTAAAGTACAAATAATCTGATGATTTCTCTTATGATCAGAACTTTTGGGTCAAGGGTAATCTATCATAAAATACCTATATTACAATGGAAAATCCAGTAACTAATAATATGTATTAATATCATGAAAGAACAAAACAGACAATTCTTGGGGAATCTCAACGATCACAAAGAAGAAATGAATTACGTTTTAAAGAAGGTCTGAGAGCTTTCATATGATGACAACTGTGGTAGTTGGAATATAATTGGCCCCCATAAGCTAAAAGGGAGTGGCACTATTGGGAGGTGTGGCTTTGTTAGAGTAGGTGTAACCTGGTTGGAAGAAGTGTGTCACTGTGGGGGTGAACTTTGAGGTCTCACATATGCCCAGTATAACAGTTCACTTCTTGTTGCCTTCAGATCAAGATGGAGAATTCTCAGCTCCTTCTCCAGCACCATATCTGCCTGCATGCCACCATGTCGCACCATGATGATAATGGACTAAACCTCTGAAAATGTAAGCCACTCCAATTAAATGTTTTTCATTTATAAGGGTTGCCATGGTCATGGTGTCTCTTCACAGCAACAGAAACCCTAACTAAGGTAACAACTTAATTTGAATTGACTTGTCTGCATTATTGAGAATGAAAAGACTTTAAATACTTTTCTTAGAAATCAATCTTTGAAATAGTTTTGCCATTCACTTGAGAGCAAACATGCTTTTACTTCCTGTAATTCGTCTGCCCTGAAGCCAGACCAAATTAAGGAAACAAATCCTTTAAACTGCAGTTTTAATACTTTCTTTTCTTCTTTTTTTTTTTTTTTGCTTTTCTTCATACCACTAATTATTACCTGTTATTTTTTCTTGTCCACAAGAACCTAAATAATAAAGAGTAGAGTCTTTTTCTGTCATCTGTTCACTGAACTCATCTGTAGAAAGAATAGTTCTCTAAAATCCGTACAAATATGTCTTAGCTTTTTAGCTTGGCATACAAGTCCATAACACTCCATTTTATCTTGCTCCTAACTAGCAAAAACCAATTCTAGTTAGGCCATATCAGTTTGATGATATGTTTTGTGATTCCATAATTCATGTTTTATAAATGCTGCTTTCACATGTTCTTTGTTTTTCTGCCCAATTAAAACAACCCAAAATGAAGTCTAGATCATAAACTTCTCTATGAAACCTTAATTCACATCCACACATTCCTCGTATTTATCTGTCTCTTAAATCATTTATCTGAAATACCTAATTTCTGTCAGTATATGACAATGGCACACCCATTTAAAAGACATTTTAGAAACGATAAAAACTACAGCATTAGCAAGAGACAGGCTAAGGTTAAGTGGAAAGCTGACTGCAAAGGCACACCAGAAGCATGGGTTTCTTTGAGGTGGTAAATCTGTTCCACATTGCAATTGTAGCAGCAATCACACAAAGCCAAGCAAGAGCTAAAACTCAAAAAACTGAATACACACTACATGCTATCTGAAAAGAAATAGCCCTTTGTGGTTCCCCAGAAATCCTGTGTTTTTTTTTAATTTTAAAAATCATGTATAGATTCACCCTTAATATATATATTTTAATAGGAATAAATATGATTTTATCCCATTTCTAATAGCAAGGTTCAACAACACTTTTATCCTCTCTGAGACAGCAATGGTAGGATCTAAAATTGATGTCTAAACTGTGATTTGGGCAGATCAGTAGCAAATCAAAAGGAACTTGTCATATATCATTGCTCTTTCTAACACAATATTTTGCCTAGTATGAGTACTTTTATTTAATTTTTAACTTTTTATAGATTCTTTATGGATTTCACATCATGCATCCCAATCCCACTCACTTCCCTGTCTGTTTGCTCTCCTAACCTCCCCCCCACACACACAAAATTTAAAAGGTAAAAACAATCAAACAAGCAAACAAACAAAAAGCCAAAGAACAAAACAAACAAAAATCTCAGCATGGAAGCTGGAGTATGGCCCAGTGAGTCACACAGCATACCCTTTAGTCCATACATATTTACTTGTAAGTGCTCACTGAAATGAGTCATTGGTCTGGTTTGAGGCCTCTGGCTCCCACTACACTATACTAGGCCCTCACTGGGGCTCCTCTGTGATATCGTATTGTTGCCTTGTGTCATGGAGATCCTGTAGCTTTGGATCTGCAGGTCTGGCCCCTTTACATGCTCCAGCAGATCACAGATGAGGTGGATGTTGGGTGGGCTACCTCACAGTCCTGGTTCTGAGCCTGAATGGTAGCTGGGTTGGTCAGCCTACCAGCTTTCCCTCATGGTCACCATCTGGGTGGGCTCTCCAGCACTGCCCCGGCTAGCTCACTCAATGTAGCAGACATTTCTCCTGCTCTCACACCCTCCAGTCCAGCTCATTGACACTCGCACCACCAGGGCAAGCTCTACTGTTTTGCCCAGGTGAGGTGCTGGGTCTGCTCTTTAGATTGCTGCACTTGGTGAGAGGCAGAACCAGCTCTTCCATTCTCATACCCCCAAAGGCTGGCTCTCAAACCTGTTGCAGGTGGCAGGAGTTGGGGTGAGGAATGGGGTGGGACCGTTTCTTTTTACCTTCAAATTGTTATTGACTGCCAAGTATGGTGGCATACACCTTTAATCCCAGCACTTGGGAGGCAGAGGCAAGATGATCTCTGAGTTTGAGGCCAGCCTGATCTACAGAATGAGTTCCAGGACAGCCATGGCTATACAGAGAAACCCTGTCTCAATCCCTTCCTCCCCCCAAAAAAACTATCCTTGACTTTCTCTTTTCTACAGTTCCCTATTCTATCATTCATACAACCCTTTAGCAACTGTGTTTGTATTTTTTCAAATGTGCCATGTTCTCTTTTGATTACAAGCTTTCATTCGTACTGATTGTTCAACAGTACCAAGAAGAAGGAGGAGAAGATCACACTCTTGGCATACTTCCTTCTTCCAGCATATATGAGTATACCACTAGAGCTGTCCCTGGGCTAGTTTTTAGTTCATATGCTGCCGCCACACAATTCCCTCAGCATCCTGTACTTTCTCCCTCAGTCTCACAGACGGAATTGTTAATACAAGATCCGTGGATTGGTTTGCTTTTCTCCTCCATCCCCCTACTATAATGTGAGTTTCGTGACGGCAGGAATCATTATGTTTTATGCACTAAATAATGCTTAGAGTGAATGCTATGGAAAGCACAGAATACCCCCACCACAATGATGGCTTAAAACATATTTGAATCTAGGAGCTTGAGATAAATAACACTGCTCCACTTGAAAGCAGAGAGCAAACATTTCCCCCTGCTTGTTATTTCAAATACACTTTTCCTTATGATACCCAATTAAAACTTAAGTTTTCTTTCTGTGTTCCTCTTTTTGGAAAATTCCCTTTATATTTACTGAATGATCTTTTGAGGTCTTAGTATGCACATCCAAGAAATAATGCTTCTCCTAGCCCTTAAAAAAAAAAATTTGGAGGCATCATATTACTATGCCTATGCATATTATAGTTAGGCTGCCCTGGGATGAGTGATCTTGCTTCAAGTTCCCAACTGGGTACTCAAATGGTAGGCCACCATGTGGGACATTTTTTGTATGGTTTGGTTTAGATAAAACATGCTCCTAAATAGCTAACCATTTAAAATTTAAATCCCCTTAACCTGACACTCTACATTTAGTTCTGTCTCAGAAACTGTTTTACAATCTAACAGTTTAAACAAATGAAAACTACTTTAATTAAATCATTAAATAACAATATAGTTAGTTATATGAGATTTTTCTGTGGTGATATTTTGAATATATTCTAACAAATAAAGCTGTCTGAAGCTCAGAAGGCAGATCCAGCCGAAGAGTTAGCCATAGAGGCCAAGCAGTGGTGATGCACACCTTTAATGCTAGGACGTGGGAGGCAGAGGCAGATGGATCTCTGTGAGTTCAAGGCCACCCTGGACTATACAAGGTTAATCCAGTCTAAAAGAGAAACAGAGTCAGGCAGTGAGGGCTCACACCCTTAATCTAAGTACTTGGAAGTCACACGACTTTAATCCCAGACTAGGAAGTTTGAGACAGGAAGCAATATGGCTAGGCAGAGAAAGGAATATAAGTTGGGAGGACACAGGAGTCCACCCGCCTTTTGGCTGAGGGCTCAGGAACACTCAGTCTGAGGATTTGTGGAGACGATATCGTCCCCTTTCAGCTGAGAAGTTGGTGAGGTGAGAAGAGGCTGTGGCTTGTTTCCTCTGATCTTTCAGCATTTACACCAATATCTGGATCTGGGTTTTTATTATAATGCTACATTTATTTAACCTTGCATTTAATTTTTTTTAAAGTTTAATATTCTTTGCATTTAATTGCCAAGAATCTCTTAGAAAACTGCAAAAGAGTAAAACTCCCTTTTCCGGCCATTTTAAAGCATAACTAGTCAAAAAATGTAGTTCCATCAGTTGTAAACTTTCCCGTAATAAAAAGCAAAACCTCGCAGTACAAACACCAATGAGAGTATGCAACAAGCCTAAGCTCAAAAACAGTAAGCCCCAAATAAGGAGAGAGAAGGGCCATGTTTTTAAAAGTTCAGGAGACACTTAAAGAATTACAAGATATCAATCATTTGAGGAAACCAAGCCATCAGTGAGACAGATTTAAAAGTGAGACAGACATATGATTTATGAAACATAAGTAGAGCTCGCTGGGCAGCGGTGGCGCACGTCTTTACTCCCAGTTAATCTCAGGAGGCAGAGCCAGGCAGGTCTCTGTGAGTTTGAGGCCAGCCTGGTCCATAGAGTGAGATCCAGGATAGGCGCCAAAACTACACGGAGAAACCCTGTCTCGAAAAAAAAACAAAAAGAAAGGAAGGAAGGAAGGAAGGAAGGAAGGAAGGAAGGAAGGAAGGAAGGAAGGAAGGAAGGAAGGAAGGAAGGAAGGAAGGAAGAAAAAAGAAAGAAAATTAAATCCTATAAGAGCAAGCAAGACAAAAAAACAAAAACAAACAAACAAAAAAAACCAGTAGAGCTCATCACCGTGAACCTGACCGGGTGAGACCCTGAAGGACAAAAGCACTACAGGATGGAAGTCTGAGTACTTCCAGTGGACTCTGCACCTGCATGTGTCTGTGTATTGAGGCAAGTTCAAAATAACTGACAGAAGGGAAATCATGGCTCTTACTAACTCCCTTCCTGGCTAATACTAGCCTAATTAGGCTCAAGAATGTGTCTAAGGGAATAAAAACTCCACTGCTGACTCAATTGGTGGCTATAATTCTACTGAAAATAGCTATACTTTAGGGACTTCAAAGGAATTTAAATCATGGTGACTCACAAGAAGAAATACATGTGGACAGCTACTCACAAATATAGGGAGGAGGGTAACAGTCTCTGAAAGGAAAAATGTTTCACACAAGAAAAAGATTACACGGTGGGAAGCCAGTGATTATAAATTTCACTTTAATAAAGAGATGGAGGCAGATACAAACATGACATATTGATATTCTTCATTTAGGGCTTTACAAAAAAAAACTGACCACGAGACAGCTCAATGTTGGAAACAATCAGGACAAGAATGAAAGTTTCAGTGACATGAGAGCATCTTGTATGATCACAGTTATCAGAGATTTACACAAAAGCACTTTCCTAAAGCAACCTTTTGTTTATAAAACACATATTCTAAAACTACTGACTCCTACAGTCTACAAACACTATTTTTGCAACATAAACAACCACCTGGAAAAAAAAATCCACCAACTTTGTACTTATGCTATTGTGAAAATATTAACAGAGAAGAAAATTTTAGTGTAACTATGTCAACAGCAAACACAAATTATCCTGTTACCTAGTTCTCTCAAGGAATTAAAATTTTGAAGAGTTGAGTTAGTATGGATAAACATAAGAGTACTCGCTCAACTCATACAAGACCCTGGTTCAATCACTCCAGCCCTGTACACAGACAAAAAGATTTTAAAATCTTTGATACTAAGCTCAACATCTAAGTAGTTTTTCTTTACTTACCCTTGCATAGTGGAATTCAACTCCATAGAGTTCTAAGGTACGTGCTGTGTTTAGGTAATTAAATTCTGCTTCTGCAGGAGATAATCCACTGTAAAGAAAACATCAGGTCAAAAACTAGATCCACAGTAAAAATTGCCAAATTACAGAAAGATTATGGAAAGAAATGAAGAGTCTCACTAACCACCAAGCAGGAGTCCTCCTTTTAGTTTTATATAGTAACAGCTAACTTATTCCAAGGGCATACTTTTACTAGATTACTTTATTTTCCAGGACTATAAGAATACAGTGAGTCCTGGGGCTCATGAGGTCATGGACCTTAGAGAGAACCTACTACCATTCTTTTATCAGACCAGTAGAATTCCTCATTACATCCTTAAACTTTTCCTTATACCCACAGTTAAGTGTTAATCTCAAAGAAGTGTTCATCGAAGAAGCTTCTCTTTATAGGATATGGAGCCTATTACAAAACAAAACAAAACAAACAAACCATAACAGGTCGTAAGCAGAAAAGCAATGGGTCATGGGGGGCCTAGTCCCAATAAATATATCTACAACACAACTCCTGAACTTAAGGCTCAGAGAACATTGAGAAAAAGGGGGCTAAGACTACAAGAGCCAGCAAACCAGGGAAGTGTGCTGTGAGATTCTGTCTTCTAGAAATGATAGGAAAGATTCACTCATGATACCTCAAGAATATGGCTGCTTAAACAAGACCTAAACAATGGTGGTATTAATAGACATGCTAACAGAGAAGGGGGAAATCTCATGAGGTCCAGTCCACAAAGATCAACTAATATGTGCTGAGAGGGGGGAAGTCAGTCTTTTCCAGGGATAAACCCTCTAATTGGTTATCCAATACCAAATGGTCTGTCAGCCCAGAAATCATACACACACAAGCCACACTAAACAGAGTCAGCAGGCTGTATTCATATATTTATGCATACCTAAGTATATGTATGTGTATAATATATCTTGTATATAGATAACTATAACAAAGAAAACAGGTATCAATTTGAGAGGGAGTCAGAGGAGCACTGGAGGGAGTAGAGGGAGGAAAGGGAAAGGGGAGAGTGATGAAATATTTTAAATAAAAATAATTTTAAAAGACAGTGGCAATTAGAAAGAAACTATTGGGAAGTATTACAGAAGAGGGAAAAAAGGAAAATAATACAGCAAGTTTTAAAACTTCTAACTGATCTTACAACTGTTAACAAAGGCACTTAACTTCCAGACGTAACTCTCAAACCTTTTTCACCATAGCCACACGTAAAGCCTACAGGACACTTCAACATCCGACACTGTCACAGCATACATAAACACAAGTATCAAGAGGTTTTTAGAGCACCTTTGTAGTCTTTCAATGTTTGTTCTTTTTCTGTTTTTAACCTTTCAACTATTCATTTATTTTTACTATATATTTTAAAATATATAATATATAGTATAATACTAACTGATGGGGAAAAATTAGTCTATCATCTGAGATGCTTATAAGTACAATTCCATAGGGAGGCTGAGGTCCAAGCCTCATATTTAATAAACATTTCTAGTGATTCTTAAAACAAAAATTTCAGAACTACTCTAAAATACAGTCTTCTTAAAAGGTCAACTCTATTTCACAGATAGTTCTAACAGCCTTAGGTATATGGTGTTAGCAGGCAATATAGTAGAGTATTATAAGCTAAGCTATCGACCTTTGCATCCCTGATACTGGAAAGGAGCCAACCACCTGCCAATGCATGATCAAAATGAATGTGACCCCTCAACACCAACAGTCCTTCCAATTAAACTTAATTCTGTTTTTGTTTATAGATCTGATAAATCAGCTTTTCAAACAGAACTAGCTTGTGAAAAATACAAGTCCTTTCCTTATTTAAGGGACTTTTAATAGGTGAATTTTAACATTCCAATTTATCTTCAAACCATTTACTCAGACAGGCTATATGACAAGTTTTCACTATACAGGGATGGCTTTTAGAGAAAAACAGCAGGCTTACCACATGATACCACTCAGTTTAAATTCTCAAGTCACTGCAGTCTACAGCAGGTCCAAGGTCAAAAAGCCTTCTACTAGAAAGGACTAAACACTAGTCTTCTAGATAAACTGTCATTGTAACCTTGCAACTACTTTATCATGTAAAAGCAAGCCACATCCCACATAGAAATAAATGAGGATGTCCGTTCATCACATGAGTTTTCATTTATGAACAATGGAGTTCAGAACATTTCAAATCCTATAAAGTATTATTTTCCTCCCAAACATTTAAAATATATAGAGACTGAGCATGTAGCTCCATGGTAGAGCACTTTCCTAACATGAGCAAGGTCTAGGTTTGCGCCACATAGTCTGTGACATATTTAGATACATTGCATTTACAATGTAAACAAATATATACTGTATTACACTAAAAACAAACATGTATTTGCCATGCTTAGCTCACTGGTTGTTCAAAATTAGGTATTGAGCTGTTGTTTTCTAACCTGTTTGAGACACTTGAATTATTACCAAAATGGCAGTAAGAGCTAATATTTCTTTAGTGTTTACCATGTACTAAGTACCAGCTTAAGAACTTTGTATATATAATCTCACTTAAGACTCAGAATTTCTGGCCAGTACTAGTGGTGCATGCCTTTAATCATAACACTCAGCAGGCAGAGCCGGGCAGATCTCTGAGTTCGTAAGTTCCAGAATAGCCAGGGATACACTTTAGAAAAACCCTGTCTTAAAAAACAAACAAAGATTCAGAATTTCTAACTCAAGATACTTTAATCATCTCAAATTATATAGAGAAATAGAGCAACACAAACAGGACTATGGGCAAAGTTCTAAAACAGTAAGTAATCTGACTAGAAGTTAAGCCAGTGAGTCCAACTCTAGTCCAGACTTGTGCCAACGAGCTACACTGTCTTTGTTCTGTCACTATGATGAATCACATGTTAGAGCAAAACTTGAGCCAACAACAAAAAAAAAAAGCAACATTTTTTTTTGTTTGTTTGTTTTTTTTGTTGTTTTGAGACAGGGTTTCTCTGTTGTAGCCCTGGCTGTCCTGGAACTCATTCTGTAGACCAGGCTGGCCTTGAACTCACAGAGATCCGCCAGTCTCTGCCTCCTAATTGCTGGGATTAAAGGCGTGCACCACTACCTCCCAAAAACAACTCTTAAAGACAGGCAGTGATGGAGCACGCTTTAATCTCAGCCCTTAGGAGACAGAGGCAGGCGGATCTCTGAGTATGAGGCCAACCTAGTATGCATGGTGAATTCAGGACAGTCAGGGCTCTGCCGAGAGACCCTGTCTCAAACAACAACAACAAAAACAAAAATTGTCTTCTTGAAAAAATGTCACAAGGAGCTGCAGAGCTGGCTCAGCAGTTATGAGCACTTGCTCTTCAAGATGAGCCAGATTCAGTTCCCTACATGGTAGCTCACAACCAGCCCCAGGGATTCTGATGCTCACTTATGTCCTCTGTGGGTACCAGGAAGGCATGTGGTCCATACACATACATGCAGAAAGAACACTCATACACATAAAGTCATAAATAAATCTTTAAAAAATGTCACAAGATATTGGACTAAAATAAACTCAAAGTTGAACACTAATGTGACTAAAACAAGTCAGCTGCCTTTAAAGGACTACATTGGGTTGTTACTTTTCTCCTCCTCAGTCATTACCAAACACAATCAACATCCTTCAAAAATCTAAAAACTAAGACAATTACCAAGTCAATTGCTCCACATATTATAAATACATTACTCTAGAATCTTCTTTTTTAAAATTAAAGTTTTATTTTATTTTTAATTACATGTATGTGTACTTATGGGTGGGTATGTGCATTGACTATGGGTATCCATAGAGGCCAAAGAGGGCATCAAGATCCCTTGGAGCTGGAGTTACATACAGTTGTGAGTCACCTGATCTGGGTGCTGGGAATGAAACTTGGGTCCTTTGTAAGAGCAACAAGCACAATTAGCTGTTGAGCCATCTCTCCAGCCACCTAAAATTCTTTCTTAAAGAACTGACAATGTTACATATAAGCAAAAAAACTCTGTCTACATATAATTTATGGCTGTTAAAGAAATGAGAGCAAGGTTCATATATTTTGTGAAATAAGCAATGAAATGTTTTTAGTATAAATCATCTACATAATATTTCTCTATATTATATAACAAACTTTTATATTAAATAAATAAAACAATAAAATTAAAAATGATATACAACATTTCTCTTTCTAGAAAGATTGCCAATAAAGCTTACCAAATAAGCAGAAAATTAAATAAATGCTTACATGTGCTGCTGATGTAACTTTGCAACTTCTTTTTCAAAATCTTGAGGTTGATTAGGAATGAAAGAATAATCTGAGAGGTAGCCTGACAAATTTTCTGACTGATTGTAGTCTCCAAGTTCAGCTAATAAGAAAAAGAAAATATCATGCTTTAATAAATATTTCAATTATACTAAGTCAGCAATGCCATTAATTTGTATATATTTATGGAAAGAATATGTGTTTTAATGTAACCACATTAATAAATTGCAATAAATTCTTCTGGGTCTCAATATCATAAAAAAAAAGTTTCAAGAATCAAAGTAATTGCTACCCAATTGGCCATTTCACTGCATTTCCTCAGTAGTTTCTACATTCTACACATCTAAAGAACTCCTGCATTAAAGGCAATGTATTATCAATACAGACTGCAAAACCCATATGCTACTTGACTTAAAAGTAAGCTGATACTTACACTGAACAGCAAATGAAGCTAAAAGGGCAGCAGTATTATAAGGACAGGACAATCTAGTAAGACAAAAAAGAAAATATAGAACCCAAGGATAAATATCATTTCAAACGCGCTATAGTTTACATTATACTACTGATACTTCAAGTTTCTATATGCATTAATTGTAGCCACAATTAAATTAATTAAGCTGGGCTCATGAATTTGAGATGACTGCCAGTTTGAGACCAGCCCAGGCTACATAAGACAATGTCTCAGACAAACAAAAGAAGCCCCCTAAAAAGTCTGATAAAAGGAACTAATACTACATATAAACATTTTTTTAAATTTGTTACAGCAATCAATCATGAATTACTTAATATAGAATTTAAAGTATTTTTATACTATTAAAAAAAACCTTAAAAATAGCTCACCTTCCAGTAAGAATGTCTTGCTTAATTTGCAAAAAATACTGATACCTTAAAAAAAAAAGATATTTACTAGAATCATCAATTTGAGTTCTTATATACTCCATATTTACATTAACAAAATTAAATATTAAAGTATTTTCTTTTGTAATCTACACGTTAGCACACAGAAAGTCAGCATATGTACACGTTAGCAAAAAAACACCAGAAATAGGCTTTTGTGACTTGACTACAAGTTTTTAAAATTCATTAATTTTATGGAACTTTGTATTTTGAATGTCTTGTTTCTATTATAAAACTACTCAAGACTTCTAAGATCTCTGCTGCCAGGGAGAAGACTTGGGAGCAACAGTCTGAGATTTGATCCGTGCAAGAAGAAACTCTTTCATCAGAAGATTAACCAAATCCCTTCTCCTACTATTGCTCTTGTATTAGAGTGGTTACATGATCAGCTTCTTCCAACATGAACAATAGTATGTTGTGACATGCTGCTGAGGTTGCTTACAAAATGGCACTGTCCTTCTGTCCCTGACAGTGGGTAAGCTAGTCAATATGTGGACAAAATCACCTGTGCTGAATAATATTGGCATAATAATAAATTTCATGATTTCAAACATTAACCAGGGAGTCTAAGGACTTCATTCAACTTTTAAAAAGTCAAAACTCAAAACATAAATGTTATTTACTTAATTCAAGACACTACAATTTTATCAGATCTACTTGGTTTCATAAGTTAAAGATGGGACTGGTGGCATAAGTCAATGGCAGAGCACATGCTTCCCATGTACAAGGCTTAATATCACTAAAAAGAAGAAGAAAAAAATCTAAAAGGTCTTTGGTACAAAAACAGTTTTATAGTTGTGATTTAAAGGTAACATATGATATGCCCTTGATATAACTGTAAAATCCTACACAAATAATACTTACTCATCAAAGATCATTTCTATATTCAATTAACAAAAAAAGGAATTATTAGTAAAAACCAGAATTCAAGTTCTAATGCAGCCTATTATTTGAGGCAAATTACTAAAATTTGGGCAGGTCTTAGTTTCTACATTTGTAAAAGGGAAATAAGATTACTTGCCAGGAGTACATGTTTTAGGAGTTTAAAAAATTCAATTCTAATGATGCTGATATTTGCCAATATTGAAGTACATTTATCACGATGGAAGACTTTGATGCCACTGTTTTTCTTCCCACTAATTCAAACTGTTATCTCAAAGCAAGTAGGTATAGCAAACTTCTTTTTTTTGTGAAATCTAAAGTACTCCTGAAGAATGAGCAGCTGTGGCTGAGGGCATACTAATCAGGATCATCACAGTAAATTATTTCTTTCTTTTTTTTTTTAAATAGAATATTTTCATACAATATATTCTGATTATGGTTTCCCCTCCCCCCAACTCCTCCCAGATCCTCTCCATTTCCCTATCCACCGAAGTACACACCCTTTCTCTCTCTCTCTCTCTCTCTCTCTCTCTCTCTCTCTGTCTGTCTCTCATTAGAAAACAGGCATCTAAATAACAACAACAACAATAATAATATAAAAACGAACACACAAACCAGAATATGACAAAACAAACATCCAAACAGACAAAAAAAAAAGAAAGAAAGAAAGAAAGAAAGCACAAGAAATACATACAGACACGGAGACAAACACTTTGCACCCACAGACAATCCATAAAAACAAAATTGGAAACCACTGTCTCTATGTGCTTGTATCAGTGTACCGGTATGTGTACATGAGTCCATGTGCCCACAGAGGCCCCAAGAGTACCCTCGATGGCCTGGACGTGGAGTCACAGGCAGTTGTGAAGTACCTGACGTGGTACTGGGAACCAAGGTAGGGTCCCCGGCAAGAACAGTATGTGCTCTTAACACTGAGTCATCTTCTTCAGCCCCACACTAATGCACTTCTTAGCCCTGGTCACTTGTTATAGTACTAGAATTACCTGAGGAACTATACATGTCTTTACTCAGGTGCTGTCTGAGTCACATTACATCAGAGTATCTAGGGGTATAGACAACTACTATGGTTTAAAGCTCTCCCAAATGATTATAAATTGCTAATCAGGGTAGAGAATCACTTTTGTATAATTATGATGATTAAATAAAATGTAGTCATGTACCACAATTTACCAACAGCAATACTGATAAGGCATAAAGAGCTTTGAAATTAAACATTATTTCTAATGGAAACAGATAATCTCCTGTACTGATAGCTTGAGCACAAGTTAACTCTCTTCAAGTTCTGACTCAGTTATCAGTGAAACATACCCTCATTGTTTCCAGTACATGCTATTAACACACATAACACACATAAACACACATTTAGGTTCTAAGAGGAAATTCAGTTTTCTGTGTGAATTAAATATTGAACCCGGCTGCTGTTTGAATGTGAGATGTCCCCACAGCTCAGGTGTTTGAACACTTGGTACCCAGCTAGCTGGTGGTGCTATTGTGGAAGGTATGGAGCCTTGCTAGAAGTGAGTCACTGGGGCAGGCCCCTTCCTCTCTGCTTTCTGACTACAGACGTGATAACACCAGCTGCTTCCTGCTCCTACTGCCAGGCCTATTCTGCCATGATGGGCTGTAATCAATCCTATGCGCCAGGTCAAACCAAACCCTTCTTCCCTTACGTTGCTTCTTGTCAAGTATTTAATCAAAGCAACTAGAGAAATAACTAATACAATATAACTGACAGTATTTTAATTGTTTATATTAACAAATATCATAAACAATAAAAATGCTAATAATCTAATTTAAAATTGTTGATGTTTGAATTGTTTCTTATATATTAAAAGTCTGATTACCTAAAACCTTCACCTTAGAATATTTTTTTAAAAGATTTATTTATTTATTATGTATACAGTATTCTGCCTACACACCAGAAGAGGGCACCAGATCAAATTACAGATGGTTGTGAGCCACCATGTGGTTGCTGGGAATTGAACTCAGGACCTTGAGAAGAGCTGCCAGTGCTCTTAACCTCTGAGCCATCTCTCCAGCCCCCACCTTAGAATATTTATACTGCTTTGTAATTCAAATTGCTCATTAATTCTGGCTAATTTCTTTGGAGTTCATGCAAAATTAGGAAAACTTTTAGTAGCTTGAGATATTTTATAATGATAAAAGATTATTTTAAATATTTAACATCAACAACATATTTGCTAAATTTAGTAAGAAAACTGTATTGTGATACATAAAATAAAGTATGATTTTAAAGGGAGAAAAAGCAACAACAAAACCTAAGAGCTATGATGGTAAATTAAACACAATTTTGTTTTTCAAAAAAAAAAATTAGCTTAGATTCTATTACTATTGCAAATATTCCAGCTGCCTAATATGGCATCTGTACTCCAGTGTCTTCTCATTATCAAAAGAGTAACATCAGCAAACAGAAAAGACTCTCAAAAACTGTGACTTTTCTTTTCTTTCTTTTTTTTTTTTTTTTTTTAAGCTTGGTTTACTATTGCAAACTCCCCAGAAACCAAGGAATGGCACTGTGAACAAATTTAATTGCTTTATTTTTCTGCTGCTCCATCTTATCACATCACTAAATTCTGATAGCCACTCACCCATAGTCTTATATCTGAGAAGTGTATAGAAGGTAATGTATTCTAATTCTTTTCATTTACATTACTAATTCTGCATTTCACCAAATGTTATCTTTCAGCTTACGGTACCAATGACTGTCACTACTTCTCTTATTTCTACCCTAAGCATTTTACCTGATTCTCAAGGACACTGCTGAAAGGCTCCTATACGTCATTGAATACTTTCTGAAGTAGAAGTGATGTGCTGAGATTTAGAACAGGCAGTCAGGTGGGCATGTAGAGGCCCGAATGTGCTTTATTCCTACAACATCCTTTATAAAATCTAGGGTGTTTTCCTTGGACTTAAAAGATAAAAACACATCCTTCACAGGATGGCTGTACATACACACATACACACACACACATACATACATACATATATACATACATACATACATACATATATGGAATTTTGCATTCTCCTCAACAAAAGGAGAAAAAAAACTAGACTATGCTTTTGCATGAAAAAACATATACACCAGAAACTCTTACTATGCAACATGCCTTGGTTATACTCCAATGCCATCTCATTCCCTTGTTTACTTTCAGTAGTACTGTTAGTGGCTGGATGAGGTGGCTCTGGGTGTCCAGCTCCTGAAAGTTATTCCAGTCATTCAAACGGGGAGGAAAGAGTTGTGTTGGGACAATTTATAAACGTTTCAGTATGCTAAATTAGAAGTTCAAGTTTTCAGCATGGTCATTTATTTTTGCCAAATTTCATTTTTTTCATATTAGATCTTTGCCAATGTTTTCAAAAGAAACAGTTCCATAAACCCACCTTGTATACTCTTCTTGTAACTTGTTAGGGTCACTTACAAAGAATTTGACTCTAAAGTTCAAACTGTAAGGAGATCCTCCTAAAATTAACAAAAACAGCTCTAATTAATCAGATTACATTAGTCCATCATCTTTATAAGGCATATTTGCAAAATATCAAGTAAATAGCATGCTCACTCTTTAGCTGCTTCCTTATTGGTTTGTTTGGATCCAGCCACCTCTGAAAAATAAAGAAGAGAGATTTCTTTTTCTCCTGAGGAACTAGCATATTGGTTATTATATATCTGTTCCACTTGAAGACTGCATTTTTGAAAAAGGTTAGGTAGAAAAGGAATCAAAGAAAAAGCAACATTGCTCTGTGATTGCTGCTGATGAGAGAGGGTAGTAGCACCACTAGGCAGGTGAACCTGGGCTGCATTAGCAAGGCAGTCAAGCATGGGCCTAGGAGCAACCCAGTGAGCAAACTTCCTTCAGGGTTCCTGCTCAGGCTCCTGCCTTGATGTTCCCCGAGCAAGACAAAATAAAACACTTTGTCCCAAAGCCTGATTTCCTTGTTCAGTTCTTTGAACTAAAATACTCTGATATAAGAAGCACAAATACTTAATTAAATAAATGTATGAGGCTGACATAGCTTAGAAATAATGTTATAGTGAGCACTGAGAAACTGAACGCACTCATGGATGATGTCAGCAAGACAGGACTTAGGTTCTTGATTAAAGCCAGGAAGGTGGAACAATGGTAACATGTAGTACTACTGGCTGTTAAATAACAGCATTCACAGTTAAAAATACAAAAGATCATTAAATCCAGAAAGTAAACGAACAAACAAAAACTAGAATGGGCTGGCGAGATGGCTCAGTGGGAATGGCACTTGCAGCCAAGTCTGATGACCCGAATTTAATCCCCACCACTCACGTGGTGGAAGAAGACTTGAGTCTCAAAAGTTACCCTCTGGTCTCCACACATGTGCTGTGGCACAGTTGCACATCACCACACAAACACACATAGTAAGTAAATGTAAAAAACAAAAAGAAACAAAAAATTCAACAAACAAATCAACCCACAAAGAAATCTTATACATCAATAAGAAAAAAAGACAAATATTAATAGAAAAAATAGGCAATGGACACTAAGTTCACAACTAAGGAATAAATGGCATTTAAATATATAAAGATAGTCAATCTTGACCACAATTAAAGAAATTCAAAATAAATCTATGTTGGGCTCTGCTTTTGAGACTGGTTTCAGTAGTTAAGAGTTAATGTTGGCTTTGAACTTATAAACCTCCTGCCAGAGCTTCCAAAGTGCTAGAAGTACAGGCATGTGCCACCATACCTCTGTACCCAACAACGTAAGCTTTTTAAAATGAGTGCCGCCCTAATGAACGAAAATTATGTCATTGTGTCTTAGTTTCATTTCTTATTTTTGTGATAGAATACCCTGACAAGAGCAACTTAAAGGAGAAAGGGATTGTTTTAGCTCTTAGCTCCATGTCCACTCTTGAAGTCCACTCTAGAAGGGAGGTCACAGCTACAGGAGCTCGAAGCAGCTAGCTATTTACATCACATTCACGGTCAAGAGCAAAGAGCAATAAAATAACACGAACATACTTGCACTTTGCTCACTTTCTCCTTTTAGTACCGTCCAGGACCCAAACCCAGGGAATGATGCCACCTACTTTTAGGTTCTTCCTTCCCATATCAATCAACATACTCAAGAAAATCACACAGACATGCCCGGAGGCCAACTCAGACAGTCCCTCACTGGGATTCCTTTCCCAGGTGATCCTAGATTGTATCAAGTTGACAACTAAAACTAACCAATGAAAACTGCTTTTTATTGCTGGTCGATTAATATTACAATCCATAGATGTGCCGCTTTTGGATGGTTAAGTTAGTCTGCTCTTTTGAATAATAGTGCTATGAACATCTAAGCACAGATTTTGTGTAGAAATGTTTACAAGCCTTGGGTACATTTTGAAAACAAGTACTATAAATTCTATTTTACTTTATGTGCATATCTGTGTATACAAATGGACAAACATGCTCAAAAGTATGTGGGCATACCTGTGCACATGCATGAGCATGTATGTGTGCACATGAGTATGTATGTATGTGAAGGCTAAAGAATAATCTGGGAAAGCCATTCACCACCACCACCCCCCTTTTTTGAGACTGGGTCTCTCACAGGAATGTGAAGTGCCCCAATTTGGCCAATATATGCTCATTTTCTGTAAGAACTTCTGCTAGACAAAGATTATGTGATTGTCTGAGTATACTTGATATTATTGCTGCTATGTTGAAAGCATCAGCTTTCCATAGCATCTACTGTATCTTAGCTAGTGAGTGCTACTGTATGTGGGTACACGTGGAGGGCAGAAATCAATGTTGGGTGTCTTCCTCAATAATTCAATATATTACTTTTAAAAAAATTGCATTTATTGGCAGCACATAAATATACCATGGAGGTCAAAGGACTATTGCAGGAATCAGTTCTCTTTCTACCATGTGGGTCCCAGGGATCAAACTTGGGTCATCAGGTACAGCATTAAGCGCCTTTACTCAACTGAGCAATCCTGCTGACCCATTCATTCATTCATTCATTCATTCATTCATTCATTCATTGTTTATTTATTGAAACAAGGCTAGTAAGTCACAGGGCTCTTCCTGTTTCTGCTTCCTTGCTGTTGGGATTATAAATATGTACTGCTGTGCTCAGCTTTTTATATGGTTTCTGTAATATCAAACTCTAGACTTCATTATGCATGGCAAGCACTTTACCAACTAAAGCAGTCTCCAAGCCCAAAAGATGTTTTATTTTAATATTTATTGTAGACTTATTCATGTGTCAAGCCCTGCTCTATGCAAGGCATATGTAAAAACCCAATTCATCCCCTTAAACCCAAGGCTGGTATTATTTGTATATCTTTACAGATTGCTCTTCCCAATGTATAATATGGTTTGTTCACTTGGGTAAATCTATTTTGTAGTGTTGACTTCCCTCAAATGTTGGTGCCCACTTGTTAAACACTTATTTTTACTTGAAATTCTCTGTAAGATTTTTTTGTGAATACTTTTAATCTTCGAGAAAAGACAAAATATATAGTTTGACTCCAAATAGTTGGTGGAGGATTAATAAGCTGCCACAGGTTGTAACAGCTAGTGTCCATGTTTATCTAGTTTCTGCTTCACCACAATGTGAACTGCTCTGCTCGACTAGCTCCTCCATGTCACGATGAACAACACCTCGGGAACTGTAAGCTGAAACAAGTGTTTTCTTCAGTGTTCCGCTAGGCATTTTGTCACAGCAATACCAAAGTAATGAATACAGTGGGGAAACTTTTACTATAGCTCTGCTGTACTGTCCAGTACCTTTTCATTTCAACTTGAAGGATCTGCCATGAGCATTTAAGGGAAATCTAGTGGTAATGCACTCCCTTGGTTGTAATTTATCGGAGAATACCTCTGGCACCTTATTTTGTTTAGTGAAACTGAATCTCGCTGTCTTAGAGCTCTATTGCTGTGAAGAGACATCACGACCAAAGCAACTCTTATAAAGGAAAGCATTTAATTGGGGTTAGCTTACAGTTCAGAGGTTTAGCCCATTATCATCATGGCAGGAAGCATGGTGGTGTGTAGGCAAACCTGGTGCTGGAGAAGGAGCTGAGAGTTCTACACCTTGATCCGTGTGCAGCAGGCAGAGAATTGGTTTGAGCTTCCGAGACCTCAAAGCCCACTCCCTAGTGACACACTGCCTCCAACAAAGACATACCTAACTCCAACAAGGCCATATCTCCTAACTGTTCCACTCCCTCTGGACTTGAGTTTAAACACATGAGTCTATGGAGGTCATTCCTATTCAAACCACCACACTCACTAAGGAGCAAGCCTGGCATTACCTCCTAATCCTCCTGTCTCAGTCTCCAAGTGCTAAGACAACAGGTGCCTACTGAACTCCCTCACATTTGAAGTAATTTTGCTAGATTGAGAACCTGTCGGTTCACTGCAGTTTTCTTCCAGTATTTTAACTATATTATTCCACTGCCTCTGGCTTGCAAGTTTTATATTAAGAAATCTCCCACTAAGTTGAGGAAACTCTATACCTGCTGAGACATTTTTTTCTCACTTCTTTCAAGATTCTCTTTGTTTGCCAACAGTTTGTAACCATTCAGATGTTTCTTCAAATTTGGGAAGCTTTAGGCCATTAACTTCTTCAAATAGGATCTTTATCCTCTTTCTTCTCCCTACTTTCTGGAGGTATTCCTCTGGTTTGATTTTTCTACTAATCCTTCTTAGATTCCCCTTTCTAAGGAATTCTTGAAATTGAGTTAGTGGTATGCACATACCAGCACAGGTGTACCATGTGACTTTTTCCAAAAGTGGAAAAAGAAGCTGTTGAAAACAGAAGACATTTGAGGGGAGTCAACACTATGAGATAGATTTACCAAAGTGAATAAACCATATTTTATATTTGGAAGAGCAATCTGTAAAGATAAACAAATTGTACCAGTCTTGGGGTTGAAAAAAGTTGAAAAAGAGAAAAACCACAGTGGGTGAGATTCACAATTTTCTAGTTTTTAGCCCAAGGGTAAGCAAGCTCTAATTGTTTATCATACAGACAACATGCTAGAGATGTCAGAAGACAGGAAGGCAGAATCTTAGATAACTGAAGCTGAGTTATGACAGGAGAAATAGGTGAAAAGCTAAGGTTCAAAGAAGCACAGACATACAAGTCACCCCAATTATTGCTCAAAGATGAAATACACAAGTATAGAAAGACCCAAGAGCATTCCACCAACAACAGCAAAACACAAACAGCTGGAAACTTTAAAAAATGAGTAGGGCACAAGCAAAATGGCTTGGTAAATAAAGGTACCAGCAAACCTGACCACCCAAGTTAAATCCCTGGGACCCAAATAGTGGAAAGAGAAAACTAACTACGACCAAGTTGTTCTCTGAATGACACCACTATGCTGTCGCATACTTGGACTCATATACACATACACACAAAAAGTGTTCACAATCCTTCCTCCTTGGCATCCTGTATAAAAGCAAATGACTGTTTACAAGAAATTATCGTTTGTACTGTATTGTTAATAATAATCATTAATTGAAGACTCCTGCAGGCACGCCTGACTCCCTCCACCCAATCAAACTCTGTAATACAAGTCCCACTCTGTTCCTCAAGCCCACCCATCAGCCCAGATTGCAGTTGCTCCCT